TTGTGGATGCCCCATCCCTGGAGGTGTTCAAGGCCAGGTTGGATGGGGCCCTGGGCAGCTGGTCTAGTATTAAATGGGGAGGTTGGCAGCCCTGCTTGTGGGGTTGGAGATTCATGATCCTTGAGGTCCCTTCCAACCCAAGCCATTCTTTGAGACCATGGTTGAGGGGGTTTTAATCTGGTGGTTCAGAAATCATTTGCTACTGAAAAGCTGTTGGACTAACAGGAGTTCAAAGAGTGTTTGGTATGGAAAGTGAAGGCCATTTCTTGCTTGAAGGCTGCCAGAGTACCCTATTTGTATTTGTCCTGTTCTCTTACCGTAGAGGTCTTTTCTGTCTGTAAAATAATAATAAGCATTCACTTTCACTCATGCAGGAGTGAGCTTTGTAGACTAGTGTGATTCTGTGTTGAGATGCCAAAGTGTTGCTGGAGTGCTTTCCAAGAACAAATGGCTTAGCTTGCAAATGCTTTCACTGGCAATCTTTAATGGTGACAGTGGTCAGAAGTCTGGGTTTAAGTCTCAGCCTTTAGAGCCGACTGCAGTGGGCATTTGCTGAGTAGGAATTTGAATTGCCAGCTGTATTTCCCAGCTTTCTCTACGAGCTTCCTGTCGGATTGCTCTTGTCAGATTTCAGAAGCCAGAGAGGACAAGATTGCAGCTTGAGCTGTTTAGTTTTTCTAGCTGTCAGGCGATGCATCATATTGAGTTAGTCCAAGAGCCCTTATCTAGTGCTCACTGTGATGAAACTGTGAATATATCAGTCAATACTTATTTTAGTAAATGGAAAGGAATGTGAAAATTCTCCTGACAACTTCTGTCCATTTCATTATCTTATTTTCATTGTGAAACTGTATCTTAGTTTCCACATTTCCTCAAACTTTGTAGCCTGTCTCTGTTTGTATACATCAGCCTTATGCCTTTGTATACATCAGCAGTTCTCTCCCCTCGCAAACAAAGTCTCTGTCCAAGACACTGTGTCCATCTACTGTGTTCCAGCAGGAGGAAGCTGAATCCCCACTGATGAGACCAGACTGCTGTGGATGGCAGCTCTCTGGACTTAAGAGCAAAAGTTTGAAAGAGTAAGAATTCAGGCTCAATATTTTTCTACCATGTTATTTTTTCCTCCTTGGAGTATCTATGTTCTGACAGAGCAAGTTCTGTTCTGAGGTAAACAGGGCAGCAATTGGGTTATGTTTTTGTGCAGAGAACATGTGCATGTCTGTAGCTGAACTATGCAAATTTTCTTCCCTTTGCATGAAGACTGCTTTCTATTTATCCAGGAAAGTATGTCTGCGTGTAGTATTTCTGCACAAATACACAAGCTCTCATACATGCCCTCTATCTGATTGCAGTTCTTAATGCCACTGTTTTGACTTTAGCTGAATGCTGCTAATAGGCTCTACAAAGGAGCTTTGGGCAGTGATTCATTTCACAGTGAAAGTGCATGTAGTAAAAATGGACTTGGCCAAGTTAAAAGAGAGAGAAGTAAGGTTAAAGCAAGTATTTGGGCTTCTTTAAAGACTACTTGGTGTAGATTAAGATCACTTCACTTTAATATTTTAGAATACAGTCTCAAAGCTGCGTGGTTTTCCTGTAGAAGTCTTCTAGAATATTGTGCAACTATAAAATTATAATTGCCACAATAGATAGGCTTTATAACTGTATGAGGGTTCTTGATTTGGGATTATTCCCTTTGATTGATCTTGTGGGCTCAAAACTTAGATGAAAACTTTTATACCTATTTTTTGTTCTGCTTTCTTTTGAAAATGTTTCAAAGTAACTCACCCTGCAGTCATACTTCTATAGATATTTTTCTGGTAGGTCTGTTATTTTTAGAGACTGATAAAGGTAAATGATGGGAGAGATTAATAACTACTTTAAAATAGGCTCCTTTTTTGAACCTTGTGTGCCCATTATTAGTACACGTGAAAGGAGTTCCCAGACTAAATAATCCTTTGTCAACAGAGAGCATAATGCATTCTGACAACACTTATGATTGTAGTACTTTCATAACAATTACCCTAGTACTTCATTTTGGTATTGCTGGGGAATTATATCTGCATGATATAGTTAACTGAAAATAGCATGCTTTTCTTTGTGCTGATCTGGAAGTATTTATTGGGCTTAAGAGCAAATGTATTTATTTCTCAGGTAAGCAAATATTTAAATAACAGGACAGGAGAATGCAACATGCAAGTGATGCTAAAATGCATCCACATAATTATGCAACTAATTTTCTCCAAGTTACAGCCAGAGCAGTAGCGAGGGGTACAGACCGTTCTGTTGTTTGTTCAGCAAATCAGAGTAAAATGGTTATAAAATCTGAATCGTTGGAAATCCACTTGTGGTTAGGTGCTGACCTCTGTGTCCTCAGACTCCTGTGCTGTTATTGCCTTTCTTCTGTAGGACTATACAGCTTTGTCCCAGACAGGGATTCAGCCCAATACTTCCATCAAACACAGAAATAGATCTCATGGCATTTTGCTGTTGCCTGTTATGTTGCTTTTTGCTTGTTCGCCCTGTCACAGACTGTGATGAAATGCTCCCTCTCCTCTGACAAAGATGACTGAACTTCTCTGAGTGCAACTAAAGACACTTAGTTAACATGAAGCGACAAAAGCTCGAATAGGAAGAACATCTTGATGGGAGATGAGGGATGAAGATAATGGGGAGGTGGTTTGACGCAGAATGAGAAGTTAGATGCAACCTTAAAAGCAAAAGCAACAGAAGTTAAAATGGTGATTGTGACCTGCTTGTATTAAAATCAAGTTTGTAAAGTAAAACTAAAATAAATGCAGTGTTTTCCTGTGAATCTAAGAAACCTTTTGAGTAGAGTGCATTTTGTATTTTGAGGTTAAATTAGTTTGATCAAAAATCATTTCTTTGTATGCTGTCTATTTGTAGTTTAATCAGTCAGTCTTGGAGAGAAGCCCGAAGCTTACACGATCGTCATGTTTTCTTTTGCCAGAGAGAAGAAAGAGCTGTGGTCAGTGCTGTATGGGATAGGAATGAGCATGTTGTCAACACTAGATTTTTGTTTTCTTTATACTAGTAATGTTATCACAAAAAATGCTTAAAATCACAGCTAAAAATATTGTCCAAAGTGTGAAACAACTGATGCTTCTTAAACTATCGGTTACTGATACGCAGGAATTGTGAGCTGAAAAATAGCTGGCCATGAAAGAGTTTTTAGTGCATGGAAATTACTAAGTGTTATGTGAGTTTTTTTCTTCTGTATGTTGGCTTTCGGAAGGCTTCTGCAGAACAGCTCTGTGTAATGACTGATGCTAACATCTGACACAGCCAGTATTGGCTGTGCTGAGCTGTGCAGTGGTCATTCAGTACTTAAATTATACTGAACTACTCATTTGTCCTAATCTGTTATTGGCCATCTCTTTAGGGACTGAATTTTAACAATGCAATGCTGGTTTCTGTATTTTTTGTGTTAAGGGTTAAATGCATTATTAAATAAAAATCAGAAGTTAGTAAAGAATGAAATTGCATTATATAAAAGTACTTACGGAAAGTTGAAGAATGAAAAAATGCTTTCCTCCAGATGATGTCTGCTTCCTTTCTCTGCCTCTTTAAATATTTAAGCACATTCTTTACATAATACCTAAGCTTTCAAGCCAAAGTTACGGGTTGCCTTAGCCAGGCTTGAATCTGAAAATGAGACCCAAACCAGGACAATAACAAAATGACACAAAGATTGACTATACTGTACTTGCTGGATGAAGTGAAAACTGCTAAAATATTAAATCCTATATCCTGGGATTTCGCTGCCTGCTGGAACTAATCTCATTAACTTAAAACCACCTGAGGCTTAAGAGAGATATACACTGCCGTGTGAAATTATATTTATCTCATCCTAGGGGGAAATCCTTTCCCTCCCCCAGCTTACCTTACTTTTGACTTTGCTATTCTTGCGTTACCAGGTCATTTCTCCCCCATGGGAAAGTTGTCATAGCTCACAGCAACACAGTTACTGTAGTTGAAGTTCAGTACTATATAAATGCTGAGATCATTGTTCAAGTTTGTTTTCTTCAGGAAATTCTTTAAGACGTAAAAGAAGATTGGTAAAACAATACTGCCTTACATTAGCAGTTCACTTAGATACCATAGCTACAGAGTTAAAGACAAGGATTCTGGAATTAGGAAAACAGCTCACAGGAAACAAAATAATTAGTTTTCTTTAACCACAAGCATCAACCTCAACAAGAGGTTGAGTGATTCTGATAGTTGGTGCATGGATGTAGAAATTTCAAATGAGAAGTCGCAGCTTTAGAGATCTGGTGAACATTGCCAGTTAGAGCTTTGTAACTGTGTGGTTGATTCCAAATCTCCATTCAGTATTAAAATTCAACCAGTGGAAATATTCCCACTGACATTACAGGACTTGGGGTGAGGCCTTATCTGATACCCTTGTTAGGCTTTGCAACAAGGCAAGATGACCTTGTGCAAGTGCCTTTTACTGTTTGTCTACTCACAAAAAAAAGGACTTCAAGTTATCCATTAAACAGCACAATCAGGAAGGATATTCAGAAATTTACTGTTAAAGCTCTTAAAAACTAACAGCCTCATCAGAAGCAGTGTGCTGAAAGTCTGTAGAGAAGTAATTTGGTTGGTGAACCTGGCTGCCAGCACCCTGTTTCCAGAAGGTAGCCCAAGGCATAACTGTGCTATGGAGTAATGCTACTTGCAGCTCTGAAGAAGAGCCCTAATGCAGCACCCTCCAGTGAGTCTGTAGCTGACACGTTTACTGGTGAGATGCAATGTGGGTCTTATGGTGGGCAGTGAAATAGGCAGATTTTCTCGAGGTGAGAAACATCTGATCTGCAAAAATCAAGCATTATTTCTTTGAGATCCTGTACGGTTTCAAGGGTCTGTGGATTTGAGTAACAAATGCATCAAAGTTCACCATTAGTATTGACTTATTAGCTCAAAGTAACCTTGTTAACAACCAATTGTTTAAAATGTCCTGTATTGAAAGCTTATGTGTAGGTACAACAATAGAGTTGTAATTGTAGAGCAATGAAAGTAATAAGGCGAAATATAAGGTTCACTTCCTGACTCATCCTTCTGGTATGAATGGAGAGCAGCATAGAGAAGTTGCGTTGCAGCTTTCCCGTGCATCAGAATGGAGAAAAGGATGAATAAAAGGGTTGTAGTTTCAAACTGTCTGTCTTCTTTTTGACTACAAGCAAAAGAAAAGTTTGTTTCAGACCATTTGACTGGTGTAAATGGTATGCTATGTGAAAGCTGGGTCCAATTTCTCCTACGGTTGCCCTGGAATTTGAATCTTATTGTGGGCCAGATAAGGATGTACATATTCACTGTTCTTAAATTGTTTCGGATATATTTAAGCATTTCTAGCACCCAGAGAGGCCTGGTTATCTCCTAATTTACCCCTGAAGAAACCCTGTTCTTTTAGAGGCTGAATAGGGCATATTATAGTTGAAATTTAACTGAACCTTTATTCTGGTAGAATTCTGTGCTAAAGCTGCAAGGAGGATGCTAGAGCCATGAATAATGAAAAAGGAATTTGTTGGGTAATGAAGAGTAGATAGGATTAATGTTGTATTGGCTTTTGGTAGGAGGATTAGGATGGTTATTAGTTTTGTTTATTTGGAATGGTGTTATTTGTTTCTATTTGCCTATTACAGTTAAAGTTTGATTTAGCAGATTTTAATAACAGATGTATATAAATGAGTTAATTTTACTAGCACTTGCTAATAAATTAGATCAATTTATGCTGCAAATAATTTGGAGTACAGAGCTCACACGTTGTGACTTGCACAGAAACCCACCTCAGTTCCTTGATAAATGCCAGCAGTTTTTGGGGTGAACTTCAATTTCATATGCAGGGGAATAAAGCTTGCAAGTTAGGTTGGAGAAATGAAGAATGAAATGCAGCGAGTGCTCCTATCTTTTAATGGACTTCCCTGTTCCTGTGTATCTCTCTTTGTTGTTTGCTGTCTCAAAACACCTGGGATCCAGTCTGGTTTTGTGAACATCCTGTTTAAAGAAATTTAAGGGAACACAAAGAAGTGAGTATGAGCAAATGATAGAGAGTGCACACGTGTCTGGATATGAAATACTGGTGTAACTTACCTGGCCTATGGATAGTAATTATGTTGGCCAAATTCCCTGATATTTAGACACGTGGTTTTTGTTTAGTCTTATTGACTTACGAGTAAAATGATGAAGGTACAAATGGTCATGACTCTTGCATTGCTAAGAGTGGAGGTTATAGTCCAATGTGCTTGCTGAACTCCAGCGTAAGCTCCTTTTCAGCCCTGTGTAAACAGGCGCAATGCATTCTAGTTTATTTAGTGATGGACAGGCTGTTAATTCTTAAAAATAGCTAAGGAGCAAGAACCCGACACCTCAAATGATTTATATGTTTTCTTTGTAAGCTTGTTTCTGTTTTGTAACCTTTAAAATGCGGGTTTTATGAGTGGTATCATTAAAATTTATACTCCCTCTAGTTTGTGATGTTAGTCATTATTGCTCTGCTGTGCCTCCAGATCACCTGTCTGAATTATAAAGCAGCCTTTCTCGGAGCTAAATAGTAATTTTTTTCCTTTCTGGAGTAAATGCCTGTTGACTTCATTAGATTTCATTGGTGCTCCTGTACTGGAGCAGAGGTCAGAATCTGGCCTTTCCTGCTTTCCATCCAAATGTGAAAGGTTGCTCAGAGTAACAGTACGCTTCTAAGAATGAAATACCAATGGTCTTTTAAGTGATGAGAACTGATATTAATCACAAACTGCCAGAGAACTTGTTTTGAAGTACTTTATTTTTGTTAACTTGGATTGATGCGCTCAGCAGGTGACTTAGTGTTGGGCTAGGCTTTGTTATGCTGATTTTAAAATGTTTCTATGAAGGGTGAATCTTCAGTAAGGGAAAAACGGAAGCTAATAGTGAAAACGAACTGCTGTCCTTATTCTAGCAGTAGAGCCTTTTTTAAGACCCCATAGACCAATGAGGATTGTGCAGAGCACTTTGAAATAACAATTTATCTGCATCCTTAAGCTGATGGTGCCAAAAATGGTTTTCTTGGAAATCTCTTGCATACTCTAAAAAGCTCTGGACTTTTTTTTAGAAGTGGCTGAATCGTCAAATGAAAGTGTTTCCTGAGTGTGGATTACTGTACTGCTTCTGTTAAGATTGTCAAGCCAAGTGCTTGCTACTGCTTTGGAACTTGTGAAATGGCCCAACTCTCTTCTCTTTTTTTTTTTTTCCTATCCAAATACTCGAACCTCATTCAAAAGAGTTAGGAATAGAGGTGTGGGTTTTTGCTTTTTCAAAATTGTTTTGCCCATGATGAAGATGAAGTACTAGTGCTTCCTGAGGCTGTTGTGAGAGATTCAGTTCCACTCCCAGTGAAAGATAACATGTGATGTAGTACTACACAGCATGCTTCATCTGTGAGGAAGGATTATTGGTGGAAAGCTTGGGAGTGAACTTGTTCAAACTGGAGGTATCCCAAGATAAGTGCACTTGAGCACTAGGTCCTCTGGTGTATGGCCTCTTCCTGAAATAATAGGCAGCTGTACATGGCTACAGTTATTAAAATCTCCCATGCTTCTGATTGCTCGCACAGTATTTGTGGGGCAAGTTTCATGTCCTGTTAAAAATTATCCTGTATTTGCAATATGGGAAATGTGAACATAAGGAGTTTCTACATTGAATGCTTCTAGTAGCATAATTACTAGAGTGGGTTGGCTTGCTATCCTATAACATCAGTATTTTTTTGTTGAATACGGCCAGTTTCAAGAGCTTAATTTTTTTACTGCCATACAAATTGAAGTTTAATTTTGCTTTATGAGACTTAGTTTTAGTTAAAATTTTGAGAGGACTTCTGTACGTAACTTTTGTAGTGAGTCAGTGGATATAAGATAGGAATAAGAGCTGTGATGTTGATTAGGGGAGGCTGAGTAGAGTTTTTCGTAGTGCTAATGCTTTCCAAATTGGGGAGTAGCAGATTGAAAGTGAAGGGCATACTCCATGTTGAAGGAAAGTGTTGGAGTGGTCCTAATGCAGAATCTCATTAAAGGAACTGTCAGGATTTCTCTCTTTTATAGAACAGGGGAGGTGATGGTAAGACTCAGCTGTCTTTTTGAGTGAGCATAGTGCTGAAGAGGCATTTACAAATAAATGAAAAATGTCACAATTGATTTTACTTCTTTCACAGTACTGTGTGTCAGGTTTGTCACAAACCCTTTGTTATTCTCTTTTTCAGATTTCTTGTCTGGACGTTGAAAATAACATTTGGATCTGGGCTTCTTTCTGGTGACCCAGGGTAAGCTTCTTGGATTTTTATGACCTGTGTACTAGTTAAATAATATTACCTTTTCAGTGCTTAGAAAGGATGAAATGTTAGAAATGCTTACCAATTACCTGACAAGGATATATCAGAGTTGCATATCACAAACCACCCTGGAGAATTCCACTAATGTAATGGTTCTGCTTTGTAGTTTCTTTTACATAGGCATATTTGTGACTTATGGTAATTACCTGGAAATGCTGCATGCAGCAACTATACAATACTATACATATATAATATATATAGCTGTTTTTCAGTTGTTTCTAAAGAATATATAATTCCAAGTAGATGGTATTCTTTCTCTCAATTTTTATTTAACATTTTCCATTCTCTTTCAGTGTGTGTTATATAGTTATTAGAGTACATATTGCTGCCTTAAAGCATATTGAAAGTAAACTGTTTTTGTGTGGCTGCTGGCTGAGTAAATGAATCTAATGATTATTATCAATGAAACCTTTAAGTGCAAAAGTATTGGTATAAGAATGGATATCGGTTAGAATTTCATTATGAGAAATACTTGAGATAATTTCAATGCTGGGAAGTATCTAATCTACTGTCAGTTTTAGAAAGTTTTTAATTTTCAGCTCAAACTTCAGTTTTGTAATAGTATTCAAAAGTATATGGAGTGTTTTACTGAGATCACTGTGGAAGAGAACCTCGTTAACATGGTGGCGTTAAAGGTTTTTAATGACAAACACAGTGCTACTCTTAAGAGAAATTTTTGGTCTCCTCCGTGTATTTTCCTGATGTCTTATACCAGACACATCGCCAGCAAAGTGCAGTTGTGTAAGAAGCGTAACTTGTAAGTAGTACTAAGAGCTTACTGCTTTCTATTGCGTTAAAAAGTAAATATGTGGTATATAGTAAAAATTATTTTGTAGTGTTTTGTTCTGAATAATTCTGAAGTGATTCTTAAATAGAGATTCACACACTTTGCAATCTGCTAGACAGCACCAAGTCTCTATTTCAGTGCTTGTTATTTTTAACATCTTTTTAAAAATTACTGAAGTTAATCCCCATTTCTTATCATGGTCTTGTTAAAAACTATGAACAAAGGAAATTAGCATAGCTGTCATTTTTGTATGCTTGATTGTAAGGTAGCCTGATCAGCTCTACACACAGCCCTTTCCTTACAGTAGTATATACATATTTGTCAGATACTTGCGTACTATAAATTTGGCAGTTTTGATCTTTAGGTGGAAGATTACAAATGTCAGTCACATTGTATATTTAGAATAGCTGTTAACTGTCAGTCAAGCTTTTTCAGTCAACTAAAAATCAAACTTTGTTAATTGAAGAACGTGCTCACTTTGTACTTTGAAGATACTCTCCTTTATTAACATGGTAGTACAAACAATTGGATGACTGGGCTCTTTAAGGCCGTCTCTAATAATCCGTCATCCATGGTGGGCTGCTCACCCTTCCTTTTTTCTCTCATTTACATTACAATACATTCTGAGACCTGAATCCTGTATGAAAATAGAAAACGAGTTCTGGCAGTATGAAAACTGGTAACGTAATTTCACTGAATGAACCAGACAGTTCAGGACTGTTGTTCATGTAATTAATTATTACTGTTACTGTAAACAAAGAGGGAAGGAAAATTTGAAATGAAAGATGAAATGGAACTTGGCATTACCAACTCCACGCATTCCTCAGCCTCCTTCCCTCCATATATTTGACTTCAATACAGTAAATTGTATCATTTGCAATGCTGCAAAGAGAAATCTAGATCACTTTCTATCTAGCAAGGTATGGGCTAAATATGATTAGGCAAATTTGCAGAAACTCAGGCTTTATCACCACCAAATCTCTGCATATAATAAGGCTACTTAGCTTCATAATGATGCTGATATTGATTTGTCCCAGCCTCTTCTCTTAAAATGAGCATATTCTGATGCATAGTTATGTATTTGTAAATCTCTGTACTCCAGCTGATTGCATGTGTGAGAATTGCTTCCATATAGTGGTCTGAATCATGATATTTCTATCAACTGCTGAATGGTCCCTATAAGCAACTGATGAAATGGTACTGATTAGCGAAATTACCACGGGTTATATTCTGACTTCAGTGGAAGATTAAGATCTCCATCGAGTAACAAACATAACAATAATAAAAAAAATAAACTAATGCTACTGCTGCTTATTTGGTTGACTAGAAGCTCCTGTGTAGGAAATGAGCCTAGGAAAAGCCAAAGGCATAGAGTATTCATTCCAGTGGGAACCCCTCCTGTCTAGTGTGCCAGACAGTGCTGTACTGCAAATATTTCCAGTAAACTTATTTTCAGTTAGGAGCAAGGGAAAAGGGAATTGAACTGAGAGCTATTTCCTTCTGAATCAGCTATGTTCTTACGCTGCAAATTAAAATGTTATAAATACTAAAATTTCAGTTTAACTGATTGTTTTTTTCCCAGTAACTGGACTCTTGATGATGACAACAGTAGTTTATTTGTTTGGCTTGTGAACCAAGAATATTCCTTCAACCTCCTTTCATACAAATATCTTTTTCCTATTGAAATTAATAAAGAAGTTGCCTTATTTCTAGATGTTGAACTCACACATTTTGTAAATCAGCGAGATGAATTGCAGATCCTTCCTAATCCCCAAGAACATGATTTTGGGGCATTAGATGGCACATACATGCAGAAAAAGCAACAGCAGAAGAGGAGTGACAACCATATTATCTAAAAGGTTTCCTGTGAACATTCTTCTAAACTTCACTTGAAGCACCTAAGCCATCTTGTTGTATGGAATTCGTAGCAGAAAATAAAAGGTAGCAGAAGCTACCCACAAGATAATGCTAATAATTTTCAGCTGCTGCTTGCCATGGCCAAATCAGTTGGTTTCGGGTAACTTGTTATTCAAGTGAGAATAAGGAGGTAAAACAGGCCTTAAGCATTTCTGTTGTCCTATGTTGTTCAAGCCTGAGCTACTCAGTTTTAGAGGCTGGATGGGGGCAAAGCGAATCACTTGTTAATTGATCATTCTTTCTGTTCTTTCTATCTGTAATGTGTTAATAATGGTTGGAAATTAACCATCAGAAAATCCCTCAAACTATAAAGGAAAATGCCTTGAAGTACCACAATGATAAAGTAATTTTTTTTGTGTGTGTGTGTAATGACCAAAGCAGAAGCAGAGGAGGAGGTGCATGCGCTGGCCCATAAGTTCTAAAACAGTCTTTAGTCAAACAGTGACTTGAAATGTTTGCAGGATGTTCATCTATGCAGAGTATACTTGGGAGTGCGTGGAAGTATTTTTGACTAATTTCCTTAAGTCATTGTTCTAGCAAGAACATCTTGGGAATAGTTTCGGTGCTCAAGTGTTAGCAGGACCAAATGCATTTTAATTTTTTCCCCATAAAATCATAGTATTTATTTAAGCAACAAATAATGATAATTGCTACTGGGTTTATCACATTTGCTAAAACAAAATGGTTTAAAACTTTCTTCCAAAGTATGTGTGCTAGCAAATAGACCTGTGTTATTGGAAGAAAATCAATGAATGATAGTGCCCAACATAGGGCTAACAAAGATGCTGAAGGGATTGAAGCACCTCTTCCTTTAGGAAAGGCTGAGAGAGCTGGGACTTCTCAGCCCGGAGAGGAGGAAGCTTGGGGGGAGTCTACTGAATGTCCATAAATACCTGAAGGGAGAGTTCTGAGAGGATGAAGGCAGGTTTTCTTCACCAGTGGTGCCTGGTGTCAGGATGGGAGTCAGTGGAGACACACTGGGACATAAGTGGCTCCCTCTAAGCACCTGGGAGCATTTCTATGCTGTGATGGAGCCTGTGATGACACGGGCTGCCCGGAGAGGGTTTAGGGTCTCTTCTTTTGTATTTGTTGTAGTTTCCATGGAAACAAATAGGAGGCATTACTTTTAGAGTGACATACGTAAATAATGCTGTAATGAAAGTAACTGGGGTTTCAGCTACTACATGGAGAATGTAAAATATGTAATGCTTCACAAAATTAAATTTAAAAGCCTCACATTTCAGTGGCTTGTTTAAAGATAGGGTTGATCAGATTAAGGGTAGGCAGGTTCATTGTTTATTAGGAAGATTGAAGGGTTAATTTTACTGTCTTCACCTCAGAGTCCATCTGTGCCTTTCATTGAAATCATCTGTGCCTGCTCTGTTAAAACCTTCTGCTCTGAGAGTTGCTGACTTTGTTGTTACAGACCTCACTGATTTGCTTTGAGCTGACTGACTAGCATTTATTACAAGCTTTATCTTGGGTGTTATTTTTATGAAGTATGACGTGTTGAGGTAAATAGGATCCTTTATCCTAGACAGTACTATCACTGTTTTAGTCTACGCTTGTAAGATGAATCTTTCACAGAATGATAGATGGCATTTCAAAAGTATAATTTCATGAGCTCAATTTACCTCATCTGAAAGACATCTTTTTGGTGTATCACCATAGAACTTTTCCTTTAAAACATAAGAGGACATTTTTCCTACCTACAAAGTGCAGTGCCTAAAATAAATAAGTATACTCTTTTTTCTTTCCCCTTTACGATGTAGGTAATAAGTACTTTCCATTTCCTTTCAAGGCTTCTAAAGCTTATTTAATCCACTTTCTTCTGTGTTTTTCTGCTTCTATGCTCAGTTCTTCATTTAGCTGTTAGTTCCTTTCTTCTCTACACAAATATAACAAAAAAATCTGCCTGGTACCTATGTGTTGAGGCACAACTAGTAGAAATATAGGATAGGATGTGGGCAGAACTGAAGTGTTTAGTAGAGACAGAGCTGAAAATGGGGGATGTAGCCATTGACATTTCAGGCTTAAATTGTTGATGGTTCTGTAATGTTTATAATAATACATTTGCAGTAAGAACTAATAGTTTTTTTGACTTTTCAACAATATTTGTTCTGTAGGAAGCATTCTACCTTTCCTCCCCAGTATTTTTCATTCATGTTTTTCCTATACCTTAGGTTCAGGTGAAGCCTGACAAATGAAAACATTCTTATGAGTTGTCTTCAAGCTATGCTTCAGATTTTTCTTTTTCGTCCTTTTTTTTTTTTTTTCAGTAAGAACTATCTGTTCAAACGTTTTTTGTAGTTCCTTTATGGCAGCCATTTCAGATACCTAGTGCTGAATAAATAAAGCTTCCTTCCTACCTGAAGGAGCTAGCTGGAATTTTTTCATTTATTTATATTATTTTTTTTTTTTCAAAATCTGTTGCAGTACAAAATGTAGTTGGTTGTCATAGTAAAGAAAGTGGCATGATATTGAAATGAGAACATAATTAAAATTATTTTTATTTTTCTCGGGTCTGGGAACAAAGTGTTACTTAAACCTTTTCTTAGAGGTATTATACCTAACAAGTTCTCTTGAGAGAAATGACAGCAAAGCAGCTAGGCTATCAACACAAATACCGAATGGCTGCATTCCCCTGGGCTTGCTTAAATTTGAAAGTAGGTAGGATCTGTGAAGAAATATATTGCAATCTGGTAAAGAAGCTGCAGCATAGCTCCAGTGGCCCCAGATGCAGTAATGTACCAATATAAAAATCTCATATTAACCTAGAATATAGGTAACATCATAAAACACCCTAAAGTTGCTTAGCTTACATTCATCCTCAATACATCATCTTCAGTGTCCTGTGATGCTGAGATAGGTTTATGAAGTAAATGGAAACCATTCCTTTAATCTGCTGCAGGAAGAAGGTCATGTGAACTGGGCTCTATGCATTGGACCGACACACTAAACACAAAATGACCACTGAGCTGAAAAAGCAGGCAAATAATATTGTAAATAATAAAGAAGCTCTTTTAGTTTTATGGCAGGTTAAGGTTCAGTAAGGTGCTAGAGCCACTTGCGGGCACAGTGAGTGTACCTGTGTATATGGCAGTCATAAAGCTAGTCATTTGGCATGGGAAATAAGCGAGGTGAGGGGAAATTGAAATGTCCAAGAATTACCAATGTTTGCCATTCTTTTTAAACTGAAACATTTAGTCCTAGGTTAGTCTGTATAGTATTTGTTTTATTGTAACCCTCTCTAGGAATTTGTTAATGTCTTCCCATATGAAATTAGTAGTAATGTTTCTTCAAGGGCACAACTCTTCTGTTTCTATTTCAGAAACTCAAATTGATGTGTATGGACACTTCAACTTCCTCTTTTTAGGGGGAGCTCGACTAAGGGTTCATGGTGAAAGGTGGGCTTGAATTTGTAGAAATATGTTTCCTATAAAGTAGTGATAGCTTTTGCTGGCTTTCGGAGAGTTCTGGCAGATGATACCCTAAGTAGATGCACTTCACTAGTAAAGAAAGATGCTCTTCGTTGAGTTATCCAGAGACCTGCTTTGTATTACTATATTATGTGCGTTATCAACAAGGAACACAGTGATGTAGGGATTCATAGATGCAGACAATAGCTTTAAAGCAGTAGGGCACAACTGTGTGATTATTATTGTATGCAGCTGTTCTCCTCTTACTTACAGGTACACTGAGTACTCTAAGTGTTCTATGGCAGAGCATCAAGGAGAGCTTGTGCAATGAGGCTCAGATAAACCCAGTCTCACTGTGGTTTTGCCACAGATTGGTCAGATGTAGAGCAAATTTGGCATGGAAGTCTTGCAAGTATGAGTTTGTGGTCCTCTGGTCAGTCTTGTTGAGCATGTCTCCATTATGCACTCATACACATTTGAAGACCTTGCGTCAAGTTATTGGTATCCTGCATGCTCAACAAGTGTGAGAGTAACTTGCAAGAATAAATCTGTTATCTCGTCACGACGCTTAAAGTTCTGACTGAACTGTAGAATTTCCTTAGGAGACTGATTTCTATAGAATATATTCCTTCAAAAGCAAATGTGTTCTTTTAATGGGTATTTTCTTGTAACTTCTGTTACTGCACTGTCTTCACTGATGCATAGGTGATCTACTGTGTATGTATGTATACTCATATGTTTTTAATGTACATAAGCAAAAACAGTTGTATGCAAAGGTTGATCTTTAACTATTACCTCAGAGATGAAATAATGTGATTTCAGTATTACCTACTGAACAAACTTTATAGTTGTCTCACATACAGAACTGATGGACTATGACAATATAATTTTCATGACTGCATTGAAATGTAATCAATGTGTTTTGTAACAATTCTTCTATGATCTATTAATTGTAATAGATGAAATCAGATACGAATAGAATCTACCATAGTTTAAATTCTAAAAGATTAATTTTATTTGCAATAACTGGAATCCTCCAGTTCTGGCCTGCAGCTGCCTTATTTGAAAACGTAACAAAGTTTTTTCTTATTGTCTTAAAAAAAAAAAAAATATATTGATAAAATCCAGGAAGTGTTTAATTGTAAGGATTTTTTCTTTTTTCAGAACAGCCCCTTTTGTTGGTATTATATTGCATTAGTGTATTGTGTTAGAACAAAATGAAGTGTGTTTTAAATGAAATTATCCACTGCTTTCTGCAACTGTTGGGAATTTACTATGATACCAGATGAAGTCTTTTCTTATTTGCCCCGTACTTGGTCTGCTAATGAGTTTACTTGTGTCAGTAAAACTAAAAGTTCAGATTCCTAAGCAAGTTCTCTTCGTTAAGGAAATAAGCATGTGTATTAATTTTGGCATCACTTTCAGTCGACCATTCTGTATGTGTGGATGTGCTCTGGTCCCACAGTTCGGGCAGTTGAAAATTGTGCAGTCTTCCCTCTTCAACCTTCAAATTTGCATAATAGGGGAGAGAAAAATGGAGACTGACTTGGTCCTGTTCCAGGGAGATCAGTAAAACAAAAATAACTAGGTGGTATAGCTGAATAAGCAGTGGGGTAGAGAGGTGATTCTGGTATTTGACACTCTCTAAAACAATCTAAAATTGTAAATTAACAACTTTTCCACTCTACATATGAGCTTCCAAACTGCTGTTTTGTAGGAAAATAAGCGATCTCTGCCTATACTCATCTGCCTTTTATTTTATGTTTTGGGAGTGCAGCAACACTGAAGCTGTTTCTTGACTTAAGAAAAGGTTGTTTTTTCAGACTTCTCTATATTATATCACAGTAGAAAATGGCGAACTCAGTTTTACCTTTCACTCACCTTCTCTTTTGCATGGAGCTCCATGTGAAGATATATGGAGAAGTTTCTGATGCTTTTCACTTCTTCTGTTGCATTTCATTAATCTCAGTGGAATTAAATTGATGTTACAACTCACAGTAACCTACATTAGAATCAGGTTCACTTGCTATTGATTTCTAAGTTTTTTGTATTTTTTTTATGGTTTGAGTGAAGCTTTAAAGAAGAAATCACAACAGAAGGAGCGTATCAGTAGAAAAAATGAGATCATCAGAATTCATACATCTGTCTGACTTGATAGAAGCAAAGAATAGAAGAAAACTTACTTGGTATCTCCTGCGTCTGTAAATGTAAAGTTCAAATATTGTTCTGAAGCTTTCCCAAAAGTCCAGGTAGCAAAATGTTCTTATGTTATTACTGCCATGAATGTTAGTTTACAGTTCCTCCAATTTAATGATAGACATGCAATTTATCTGACTACAGATAAAAACATATCTGATCTTCCTTTCCAACTACCAAACCACCACAGAAGGCTCTTTCTGATAACTATAGGAGCGTGGTTGGCCATTAGCAAACCTGGTGGGTCTGTAGGTGCTGTGCTGTGGAAAGGTGGCTCGATGGTCAGCGCACTGCATAATTCTGTAGGTGTTCGCTCTACTCTGCCGATGGTATGTTTCCAGTTTTACTGGAAGTGTTATTCTGGATGCTTTGTTCTAAAAGGTTTCATTTTTTTCTCACAATCAGCACATTAGTTTTTCTTGACTTCTCGTTCACATATCCCTTGTTTCTCTAATTAACATTTCAAAATCACTGCCTGTCCTCTGTTTTGAATGATCTGTGCTTGTCTGCATTCCAGCAGCACACCTCAACTGTGAATGCAATACCAATTAATATTACTTTCATTAGTTAAAAGTAAGTATCTTTCATGTTTGAGCTGATTCTCAAATGGTGATGTGTTCACTAGTTTTTATCTGTCAGACCTGAAGTCCTAAAAGCTTTGTTAAGGACAAGTTTTAACTGCTTACTCAGCCTAAATAGGGTTTATCTTTGTCTAATCAGTAAAATGTGCACCTTTTTATAGCCCTCTGTGTAAGAATGAGTAAGGCAATAGCAAGTGTCTGAAAAAATGTGTATTGCTTGTCAAAATGAGCCTCACCTAGAAATATATCTTTAATCTGCTGATTTGTTTTCTATTACATTATCAAACCATGTGGGGATGGGAATGTTAAGGAAATTATTTTCAAAGACTGAATTTTGTCTACCTTGTACTTGTAGTTTTACTGTACTGCTCTATTTCTTGATCACCTAAAGTAGTCGCAGCAGTGAGACAAGGGGTTAGGGTACAGGCAAGCTATAAATAAATGATTTGAAAAATA